CTTTGGGCACTTTGCTTGAACGCCACGAGTTCTCGAAGATCCATGCCAGTGGCAGAGCTATGATGTGTTATAATGGATTAATAGCTTTTTCATAGTAAGTGACATCTCAGATAAGTTTCTCACAGATGAGAAGTAATGCTCAATTTCTTGGGCCCTGGGCTGCTGGTTCTGATCTTCATTAAAATTAAACAAGTCATCGTCTGCTTCACCGTCACTACTTGCTCCCACTCTTAACTGTGATCAATGTCTCTGCTTGCTTTTGCTTGTTCCCTCTCCTGCAGCCAACTGGCTGCCCTGTTGAGCTGGGAATTTTATCCCCCCAGCAAATTTTACAATAGTTGCAGTAAAATTATACTAAATGAGACAGTCTTGAAATGAGATATACACACACATCTTCATGCAGGACAAAAATATTGCCTATAGTCCCAGCTTCAAGAGTATTTATCTATAAATAATTTTCAACAAGAAACATGAGGCAAGGGAACAGGGACAGCAAATGTGTGTGCACCTTTCTACAACTTAGGTCTGGAAAACATGATGTACAGGGAAAGCTTGGAAGAACTGGGATTATTTAGTCTGGAGAAGAGAAGACCAAAAGGGTTTTTGATAACGGTCTTCAAACACACATAAAAAGGTTGTTATAAAAAGGATGGTGATAGATTATTCGGTGTGTCTGCAAGGGAAAGGGCAAAAAGAATGGGTGTAAACTAGGGAGAATTAGGTTGAATTTTAGATCTAACTTTCTAACACAGTGGTCAAGCAGTGGCACAGATTGAAATGTGGCATCTCCATCTCTAGAAGTTTTTAAGAGCAGGTTAGACAAACATTTGCCTGGGATGGCTTAGGCTGCCTTCAGAAAGGGGTTGGACAAGATGACCTCCTGAGGGCCCTTCCAGCCCTCTTCCTTTATGCTTCTGAATGAGTGATATCTCCCCAAAGTGAGGGACAGTTGACAGGCATAACGCTGAAAATCACTCTGTTGAATGTGGTGACCTCTGGTTGGCTCCATCAGACAACACTCCCATTTCTAGTCCTAAAGGGTCCAGAGATACTAAAGCTAGAGCTAAAACCTGTCACTCACTCAGGACTGGCTGTGGAGTATCCCTCTTCTTTCTGGGCTGGGAATCCACATTCAGCAGG